CAAAATAGATTAGGAACTGTGAATCACACATTCTCAATATGAAGTAAAAACAAAGTTAGTAGTAAACAACAAAATGTTAGTGAAGTAGCGAGAATGAACCGGAGGTTCATTTTCGCTGGAACACAGCGAAAAAGAGTCAGGGCATTGATTTGAAGCGCTGAGGAGGGATCATCTAATGATCAAGATATCTAGCCCAATCAGAGCCCATCAGCACGTTGTGTGAAATTTTTGCAAAATACGACTTCCTCGTTTTTTGGTACGATTCCCTTGACCATTCTACATACCATCTTCCTGAATTTTTCTACCACTTTTCCCCAAAGTGCAGTAAACAGAGCACGAGAAGGAGGTCAACAATCAGAAAATATTTTTTCACGGCAAAGTATGACCCCACTGCGGCCCCTTCTGCGCCCAGTTTTACACTACGGCGGTCTTCCCCGATCCCGATGAAGGTGATGCTATCCAAACAGGGCCCATGAGGTGAAAGGTGTAGAGACCCGTGCATACAATCTCCAGGGAATTCCCAAAGGAAGGTCGTATTTGGTCTCTGGCGAGGGAGGCGTTCGGGCTCGAAGAACCTTTTGACTGTTAACTCTCCCGTCTTCAATCGTGCTACATATCCCTCTGAATGGCAACGATACTGTTTCTGATAGGTGGTTGGAGGTCTATACCCTTTAACCACCGCTCGACTGATTCTCTGAGGTGTTTGTGGTGGGATTCGTATCGAAGGAGAAGATATGGGAAGATTTAAAACTTCCCAGACCTCGATGATGCGCCGTAGTACATATACCTCTCCGAGGTCGGCTACGGAAGTTGCTGGCCCAAAATTCTGGATTACCAGTTCATGTGACCAGGGCACTGCCCTCTAGGGAATCCTGTGGTTACCGTTTTTTTTGTCGATGGAAGATACGGGTCGTATTTGGCCGTCCAAAGGAGGTATGTAGAGGGATCTTGGACCTGAGTGACACGGGAGGTAGTAAGGGAGACGGGTGAGAGAAAGAATGGTGGATTTTGGATGTTAAAGGGATTATACTTGAGGGGCTGCGGAGGACGGGAGCGTGCTGACTGGCGCATTCTCACATTGCCATGATGTGCCTCGCCTCGTTTGGGATATACCTAGTACACCCAGTGACATTGAGAGCTGTCTGTTAGCAAAGTCAATACAATATTATTTGGTTTTATGTGAAAGTATTTAGAAAATTCCCATAGAAACTGAAGTTGTCATATAGGCAAAATATTGCCTACTCATTGCACTTTGCTAATAATCTTATGACCCACGCACACAGTTAAACGCCTCCAGGATTACGGATAGAAATCGAATGCATGGCGCATTGAGCCGTTTTTT